ACTTCACATTGGACAGCACTCTGCTGCCCTTTGTTGACCAGAAACTGGACTTAACTGTTTTGTGGAATGAGTAGGTTCACTAGGTGGAGCTCTCTTCCTGCTTTATGGCTGTTAGCTGTTTACAGTGACGGTAGCTAATTTAAAAGCTACACAGCAAATTGGGAAGTGTATATTCAACACTTTAAGAGTAAATTTTACACCAAACTCGGTGATCATTTGGGTCCAAGTTTCCAGTGTTAAAACAACACTGGACACCGGAGTTAAACAAATAACACTAGAAGAGAGTATAATTTTAAACACTTTGAGAGTATAAATGTACTCAGTCAAAAGTCAAATAAAACCTCCCAAAGAGTTAATTTATACTCTCAAAGTGTTAAAGATTCCACACTATTCTAGTGTTATTTGTTTAACTCCGGTGTCCAGTGTTGTTTTAACACTGGAAACTTGGACCCAAATGATCACTGAGTTTGGTGTTTAATTTACTCTTAAAGTGTAGAAAGAACTCCAACAGTGTCTAATATGGACCATAAGGAGTCCAATAACATCCTGCAAAGGGAGTTAATCACTGAAATAGTCAATTTTAGCATTTTAATTTGAAATCAAGAGCACTTTAGAGATAATTGAACATCAATAAGCAACTGACCACAGAATTTTCAAATATTTATTTGAAAATGGAAACACTAAAATGTGTTACAATTTGTCACAAAAATTGTGAGAAAACAAAGGACATCCTTCAGTCACTTAAGCATATAGTCTTCATGTTTACTGTACAATGAATCTCAAAATGAGGAACAAATGATGCAAAGAAGCAGAATCTGTTTCATAAACAGGTGTTGTGCAATTGTCTCTAAAACAAAAGTGCTTTTTCACCCACCAAACTGGACCTATCCTAAAACAAAAATATCTTTTACTTTTTTGATGTCTGCTATAACAGCACATGCACAAGAACCACGAACAAATCATTCCTCTCAAAACCGTAAGTTGTCTGAAGATCAAATGGTTTGAAAAACTGCAACAAATCAACCCTCAACAGAGAAGTATCAAACTCACTTCCCTTTGCCACATGGTACGAGTGAAAATGCTCAGCAAATCCTAGCGTCTCAAAGTGTTCCACTGCCAGAAAATATTTTCCAGCACAAACAATAATTTCACTTATTTGACTGAATACTGGTATTCCCCCTTCAATCTTTGAGCACACAACAAGTCCAGGGCGATACTCGGTTCCATAACATGCAACCCAAGATACCACATCAACCTCTGAGTTCATGTCAACGTGCAGGTTATCAGCCACCATGTCACCATTTCTTAACTCGCTTATTTTTACTGTGTTAACAGGTCCAGAATCAATGCTTTTCAAAGGCAATGACTCCCAGTGGTATGCTATTGCCATTTGATGTTTTTGAGCTAAAGTCTTGGTAATGTTTTTGAAATTTTTTACAGTGTTTTTAAAAAACCTGTGCTTGGCCTCAAATCTGGTTGACCAAAAGTGAATAATTGGGCCAATTTTTCGTATGATTCGAGGATAATGTGTCATGAAGTGGTGTTTGGGTATGAGGTTCTGTTGTGGGTACAGCTCTTTGAATAGCGTATGATGATCAATAATGAGATGCTTCAGATATACAGTCATGCCTTCTGTAATGACCGGTGAAAACACAAGATTGATTATTTGAAGAAGCAGTAGCAATAGTCTCCAGTGTGCATTGCCTTCTGGAACTACATCTCCAAATATCAGTGGTACATTCCTGATCAAACAAAATGTCTGAATAGCATTTAGACCTATTGAGTTACTCATTTGCTCTAGGTTTATTCTGCTGGGACGGTTTTTTCGTTCAAGAAATCCATAGTTGTACGAGTACATTCTTTCAGTTGCCTCATTTTTGGAAATTATTTTGTTGTCTGAGAGGTATCCAAACAGCAACTTTAACTCCAGCTGCCCTACTCCCTCCAATATGTCATGCATAATATCTACAGCATAGTTGTCAGAAACATTAAAATACTGCAGATCATTGAGTATGCACATTCTCTTCACCCCAAATGATGATGTTACTGCAGGGTCCTGTATATCACGGCAATGCTGAACATGGAGTTCTTTACTGCGAAGGGTCAAGTCTGGGTCATCATCAGTAAAAAGTTTTTGACAGACCTCTTTGTCAGTCAAACAGAAACGGCAAAAATAGTTTGCACTGAAAGATTCAACATATCCAAGCAGTGTATGCAAACCTAAATTGTCCCCGGTGACTTGCGCAACTGTTCCATGAACTGGACTTTTGGAAAAAGGAAGAGTGATTCCTGAGGACTCAAGGATTTTGAGATCATGTACCAGGGGCTCCAAGATTGCATTAATGCCATATTTTTTCATATCTTGACTGTGAAATAGTGCAATGAGATGGATATTCATGAGAGCAGAATTAAATTTTGGACTCAGGTTTCTAAGAACAAAGTAAATACTTCCAATTTTATGAATGCCATGCTTTGACCCAAGTGGATTTGCTGTTTCAAACTCATCAAAGAAAATCTGAATTTGGAGAGCATTTTCGTTGTTGGAGAAGAGGGGATGAGATTTAAAATAACTTCCACCACAGAAATCTTTGTACACAAAATGTTGATTTGAAGGCTGAACAAAATTGCTAAATATCTCTTTGTTGGAAAAAATGAATTTTAACGTCTCTAATATGGGAATGTAGACAAACTTATCTGTTACTGGAACCTGATCATATGTACAAGAGGTTTGATTTCTTCTTGCATCATATCGGACACCAAGGGCAATCTCAATGGGTTCGATAACCCCCCATTTCTCTATAAAATGTTTCTTCCATTTTGCCTCTGTGTTAACATTACTGAATGGATTCTCAAGATTTTTGAAATAATTACCCAACTGGACATTCAAATCCTCATTGTCAGAACATATGTTTAGAAGATCTTCTTTGATATTTGTTTGAACTTCATCTACAAGTTCCTCCACATTTTGAACAACGGACTTTATTATACTGGTTGCAACACCACAACCTAGAAGATTTGCAATCACAGATGCACACATGTCTTGAGTTTTTTTTTTTTCCATTTCACTGCTAGTTGAACTTTGTGGTTGTTCTTCAGAAGAACAAGATGGCTCTTCAAAAGCACAAGATGGCTCAAATGAGTGATTTACTGCTGATTTAGTTTTTCCTCAAAATTATCTACAATTCTAGCTCTGTGCTTGTTCTGAAGGTGTTTTCTAAATCCTGAAAAGGTGCAAAACCTCTGACAACATCCATCTTGGTCACATAACAGTTTAAATTTCAAACCAGGGTAAAATCCATGAGAAAACTTCAGATGCCGAACCAAGCCTTTGACAGTGCAAAAGGTAGACTTGCAAACAAAACATCGAAGCATCTTTTTGTGTAGCTGATTCAGTTGAGGAGCTTTGCTCTAAGATCCTTCACCCTAGGACTTTCATGACACAGACCAACATCTATATTATAAATGGTGGTCTGCACAAATGTATACATATTGTGCAGGGCCTGATCGTAAGAGATGCCAAACACATAGTGCGCTTTGAAAAGTTCGTCAAAGGCTGAAATAGAGGACTTAGCCTTGCAGGGAATGAGCTGACCATCCACCACAATGTAGTAGTCATTGATGGTGCGACGTGTTGTTCCAACCGCCAGAATGTAGGGCTGCCTCCCCTGCACTGAACTGGTCGTCTCTTGAAGGTTGCGGCATGACTGAAAGAAAAATATCAACAGAAAAATCAGATGATTACTTTCCAACTTCACTCTGAAGCACTTATGAGTTTGAGCCACTTACTTTGTGAAAGCGGACAACATGGCTCAGAGCTTCTCGAACGGTGATCTTTACAGGTCTCTTCTTCCCACCGGGTGGTGGAGGTAGGAGGTAAACCAGCAATAACAGAGCTGCCATGTCACTGTCCCAAGCTGGCACAAGATTTAAATAAACAGTCAGCTATGCATTTCATGCTTTTTATAGAACAACACTGTAATAAAACAGTTATTCACACTAAATTCATTACTTGAGCTTACACATTTCAGCCAAGTAAGTTTTGATATTTTGAAATAAAAAAAATATGTATTTCTTCTTTTTGCATTCCAAAATGAATGGTGGTGGTGGGGAAGAGATCATTCAAATGTAAACTTACTTGATTCATCATTTCCTTCTGGGCTCTCCTCTGCAGACTGAATGAGGGACTCCAGTACCGGTGTCTTTGTGAGGTTGTTGGCTTCTTTGATGACTTTCACCTTCAAAGAGGTTCCCCATTTTTCCATTAGTTTTGATGAGACTTCTTCTCCAAACATCATCTGGAAATCCTGTACCACCTTAAAATCAAACAAAACCACACACACAAATTTGGAAACTGCACAGTTCAGCAAACAAAGACATTTTAAAGTCTGCTAATCTTTTTGAACTAATTAAAAGAGTCATGACCCACTATTCTGAAATAAGACGACAAAGCCTGCAGCTTAAGACGCTATATCCAAAGCGGACTTACCAGGCCTTTTGTGTCCAGGAATCTTGGGAACACACTAAGGATGGTCTCACACTTCTCTGAATCCTGAATTAGTTCTTGTCTGTGCTTAAATGTTTGTTCCATTTTCAAGAAGATCTGGCTTTCATCTGTGCTGTGTCTCAGCAGGGAAATGGCCTCTCTGCACAGATCGCCCTCCAACTGATGCTCTGCATTCACGGGTCTTCCAAACTGTGGTCCTCTGTTGCTTGATGGATCTCTACTTGTGCTGCTCCTTCTCCTGCCACCATGGAGTTCACGCTGCATGTTTTTTAGTTTCCAAGCGATGTAGCCTTCATTACTTTTGGAATCAAAAAAGTGCTCCTACAGAAAATAAAATAAGTCTTAACATATGATCAATTCATCCTGAAATCAAGTTTTTTTTTTTGCAGATAACCTGTAAATAACTGTCTAATAATGGTGTAGACATGTGTAGTCACTATTTTGGCATTTTAGTGAATCGAATTTAAAATATAAATATTCTGCGTAAAACTGTCAGGGTAGCGCCCTCTTCAGATAGTTTGTACATTTGAATTTGGATAAGCAATTGCTATTGGCTAAAAGATACCCTGTGACATTACTGTTTCCATATGTGGTCAGCGGCACTGCTGCTGTGGAGAATAGAAGCAGCAGAGTCTCAAGCTCAGCCAATTATACATAGCAAGTTAGAATGGGAATAGCAAGTGAGTGTTTATGGCTCTGCACCAGTAGCCTGGGGCAATACAAGCCATCGGTACAAAGCGATATAGCTCAGGGCTGCTTGGCTCCTCCAAAATACCTTTTTCCCTCTTTGATAAAGGAGGTGGACAGATATCATCGAACTCCAATGGCTGCTCATGTGAATGTGTGTATGATAGCGGGGAATCTCAAAGTCTGGGGCAGTGTGGGCATGCAATTTGTGTCTTGGTTGGCCAGGCAACGACTCCTCATGGTGCATTTTTTAAACAGGAAATATGTGCAGGGTAAGACTCTGGTGGTGGTGAGGTGCCTTGCGCTTTAACTCGTCTAAAAGGGACACCACAATACCAGTTTTAAAATATTAACTGCAGAAACAAATACTTAATACTCACATATCCTTTTTCAGAGTATGGGTCTTTCAGACAGGGAAACAGGGTGACGATTCCTAATGCATAACGTGTCCTTACATCCATTGGTGGAGCAGTCCTAAACAGGAAAGATGACAGAATTAATCTTCTGAGGTTACACTTTTTTCTTTGCTCGATATAAATTACGATTTGTGTGCATATTTCATCAGGGTCTCCGCCAGAGATCGTCCTTCGTCTGTGAGAGGGGGAGGTGGGTGCGTGCACAAATTGTTCCGCTGTAGATTCTCGTTAATATGATCCGCACTTGTATAGCGCCTCTCAGAGTAAGGACTCCAAAGCGCTTTACACTACAGTGTATCATTCATCCATTCACACACACATTCACACACTGGTGGGGATTAGCTACGATGTAGCAAAAGCTGCCCTGGGGCGCACTGACAGAGGCAAGGCTGCCGAGCACAGGCGCCACTGGTCCCTTCGACCACCACCAGCAGGCAAGGTGGGTTAATGTCTTGCCCAAGGACACAACAGCATAATTCTCTGTCCGGAGCCGGGACTGAACCTGCAACCTTCAGATTACTGGACAACCCGCTCAACCTGTTGAGCTGCTGCTAATATCAGCGGATGGAGGGCCCGTGGTTCGTTTCACTGCCCCCTAGGATGGGGGCGGGCATGAGACAGCCTGGTGGGGGACCAAGTGGCCCGCCAGGCTTATAAAGCGCTGGGGGTAATCCTGTGCATCATCCTATTTTTGATTGCATATGAAAACTACTCACCCATACTGCTCAATCATCGCCGATACAACCATGTTGACCAACTTCCGCCGTAATGGGTCCTTAACCTCTCTTGTTTGTCTGTATTCTTTGAGTATTTTCTCACCTCCTGGCTTGGTTTGCAGAAGTTTTTCAACAAGCTTCAGAGTGAAACAACAAAAATAATTAAAGTACAGACAGTGCACTTGAGAATTATTCACCGTGCATCACTTTTGTTTTCCCACATTTTGTTTTCTTACAGGCTACAGCCTTGTTTTTTCTTAAACTTTCTTGTTTTTTTTAACTAAACTTCTATACACAACCCTCCATAATAATGTGAAAAAAGATTATTGGGATATTTTGCAACTGTATTAAACATGGTAATTAATTACAAAAGCATAAATATTCACTATTTTTGAGATAAAGTGCAAAATTATGCTATGGCAATTTTCTTCAGCAGGAGGAACTGAGAGAAAACTCAGAATAGATGGAAAAATGTATGTAGAAATGCACAGACCTTCTAAATAAACACCTGAGTGCACCCTTGACTTCGGACTGAAGCGACGGTAATCTTTCAGCAGAACGTCTTTAAGCACACAGCCAAGATATCACAATGTCTCTGGAGACTGTGTGTTTGGTCTCAGTTTGGACACAGTGGTGTCATTTAATGAGACTTTGAGTGTGTTTGCATTGTGTGTTCCTTTTCAGTCAATTCAGCTCCTTGTATTAGTTTCAGTTTCTGTGAATGTTTAAGCCCGACGTCAGGAGCAATTTTTGTTAAATTATGTTTCTTATACTGTACTGATTTTTACCTGTGCTACGTGTCCTCAATGTTACCCCAGATCTCCTAGATGCTTAGGTTGTAACAAGACAAAATATGGAAAAAGTGATGCGATTACTTTCCAGATGCACTGTATAGAGAGCCTAAGTCTCCTCCCTTTCCGGTCGGCTCATGGGTCCCCAGAAGAATGAAAACATTGAATGGAAGTCAACGGGGCTAAAACCGCTATTTTCTAATCTGCTTTGCCTTACGCCCTGGATCGCACACGTTGTACTGCAATTTAAATGAAAACTAATGATGGGTGTTTGGACCCCACCAGTCACGTACTTTATTTATCAGCTTGTAAATGTTCATAATTAGAATGACTGCAAATCAAACATCAGCACGTCGCATTTATGACGTCACCACAGAATCTCTTCTCCCGTAGTGTAGCTGCTACTTACCAAATGGCCAGATTTATGGTTTTTCTCTATCTGAAGGAATGATTTGAAGTTTGCTGAACTTACAGCTATTTTCCCTCTGTTTTTCTCCCGTGTCTGGTTCGATGACGTCACTTTTGTGAAATGTATTTGTAGTCTTGGGCTTATTTTCACACAAAATCTAAAATAACGTTTCCTCCCGTTAGAAAATAAGCACTTTGTTGGTATCAAAATGCATCTTTAAAATTCACGGACATCATATGTGAAATCCCTGGCACATAACAAGCGGAATTAGAAAATTGCGGTTTTAGCCCCATTGACTTGCATTCATTTTTTTGTTCTTCTGGGGATCCGTGGTACAGAAGTAGATGGGCATGACTTAGCCTCCCTATTAATAACAGCCTCCATTTATAAACAAATTCACACAAAATTAAATCAAATAAATTTAAATTAATTAAATGAATTGAAAATGTCACCTCTTTGGCTTGAAAAGAAGCGTCGTCATTTTGATCTCTTCTTGGGGACATCATCGTGGTTTCATCAATGCGACGTCTTTTAGGGGACAGAACAGATAACTCGCTGTCTGATGAAAAAGATGACAAGGAGAGCGTGTCTGTGCATGAGGACTGCACCGAAGATTCTAAGGAAAAACAGAAATACAGATCAGTACTTGACAACCATTAAATCATTTTAGCCAAAATTAAGAAACTAATTATGTCTGTCTGTGGCATCAGAATTTCACTGAAACAAGGGGGAATAAAAAAAAAAAACATGAAGTGTAAGTAATAACCTTTAACTTTTAGTTAGATGTATAAAATAAGATGTAGCTAATTTAACAGTGCTACTGTTACCTTCTACAGAAGAGGCATCAACGAGGGTCCAGATAATGTCTGATTTCTCCTCCAGAACATCAGTAAAGACATCCTCATCTACTTCTGTCCCAGTTTCATCCACAAGATACATCCTTTTATCATCTTGGATGCCAAACTTCTCCTTGGCTGTAAATGCATATAAAATTATTTTAGAAGCTTAAATTATTCAAGTATACAATTTGTAGTTTAATTATATTTACCTAATATTTAACACATTGCCTACTCAAAGATTAAGAATTTAACTTGTATAAAAAAACATAAAAATGCATAATTTTAAGCAGATGAACCCAAATGAAAACAAAAATGTAATACCTTGACTGAGGAATGTAGAATATGAGGCTCCATTGAGCTTGATATAGCGTTTTTTCCCTATATACTGCACTTTGAAAAGCATCGTCTGGGAAAAAAAGAAAAAGAATCACAGCAGCCAGCATATAGCAATAACCTTAATATGCATTCCTTTGCACAGTGGAAACCTTCTCATCTTTAGTCCAGATTTATTTTGTTTCCCCAACTGAAATCGATTACTCCTACTTAGCTTTTCAAGGCTCCTTCCAAAGAAACACCCAGTTTTCAGTCTTTGAGCCGGATTTATACTTCTCTGTCTGCGTCGGTATTGACCCTTTGCATGTGACGTCACGCCACACATGGGATCGGCTCGTTCACCATGATGGATGGCAAAATAATAAAGTATCTTTGAATTGAATAAGACCGTTTATACACGTTGAAACTCCGGTGAAGCTAAGAAGCCTGTCTGTTGCCTTTTATTGCTTTTATTTAGTTGATTTTACAGTAAAATGGTAACTACTTGCTGGGTGGCTGGCTGCACTAACAGACAAGAATGTAAAACTCGTTTTTTTTTTTGTTGTTTTTTTTTTTCAAATAACTTTGATGGAGACTGAGGACGGAGAACTGCAGCGATCAATCATAATGGTGGCAGGATTCTTCAGAAAAGCGCAACGCCCTCTGTTGTCCATGGTGGGGAATTGCTTTGCAACTCTTGCTAGCTTACTAAGTCCGAAGGGAAAATGTCACCATTTAGGCGGAAAATAAAGTGCCACTTCTGGGTTGGATGATTTGTAAACGTGCTCGCCACTAGAGTGTACACCGCCTGGGTCTTCAAGCTTTTCTTCAATGTTTTTAGGATTAGCTTTATGAAAAATTCTGGGAATAAACGCATTCTCCACGATTGCTAAAGCATGTAAAGGCGGGAGTCAGCAGAACTGCAATTCAAAAAGAAAACTAGTATTTCGGGGAAAAAACTGCTACGTTAAATTAGCTCGTCCCATCACTACAAAGCACATTTTCCCTTACTGCTGGCATACAACATAAAGTATTCCCTGGGTTTCTTGCTAAATAGCTTCAGTTAAAGACAGCTTCCATGGCATTTATTTACTGCATTTTAAAATTGAGAGTTGTGTATAAATACATATTTTGCGTTGTCTTTAGTTAGCAACAGCAAATTAGTTCCTCCTAAAGCCAGGCAATAATGATGACAATATGTACCAGTTCTAGCGGCCAGTTTATTAAACGTTGTCTTCGAAATTAAAATTCCATCAATATATGCCTTACCTGTAAGCTATGTTGTCTGGAAAATCACTGTTTCTTCCACCGCTCCGTAAACCAAATGGAGGACCGTCCCGCCGAAAACTTTCCTTTGGCCGCCTGCAGGCGTCGGCGTCAACAGACACACATGACGTAAACACGCACGATACGTAAAATGAGAACCGTGGAGACTCAATCACAAATGAACACCAAGAGAGCTAGTAAGGACAGGAAAAACTCTTCACCAATCCTGCTTAAACAACTGACACCAGTAGGAGTCACTCTATCAACACGGGAAGTGTATTAAATTATTAATATACTCTGCAGTGTAAAAAATATCACTCTACATACTCAAACTCTGGAAAAGTAACACTTTTCAATTTGCTGTGTAACAGTTTGCTT